CTCCACCAGCTCCAACAATGACGTCCGCCACTGCACCTTCAGCTCGGCCAGACGTCCCAGCGGCAGTTCCTGCGGCGACAGCTACTCCATCCACTGTGGCGACAGCAGCAGCTCCCCCAGCAGGCAAGACTGCGGTGGCCCGTCCACCGCCGAGCGTCGCGCCTGTACCCAGTGTTGTCCTCGTCGGCGACGCTGAGACACTGCCGCCGGACCCAACCACCATCGTTGACGATGACGACGAAGACGACGACACATCGGCGCGACACACTACATCCACCAAGGAGGGCGATGCGATTGCTGCTCTCATCTTCGAGAGTTACCCGGATAGATTCACCGACAAGCTGCCCAAGGATGCGTGTAGAGACAGAGGAATGTACAACATGACCATCGAGTTGTTGCCTGGGTCTAAGCCCGTCAATAGGTCGTTCAAGAACTCCAATGAAGTTACAGCCGAGTTGGAGGTCGAGGCAGACATTCTGCTCGACACGGACGTCATCGAGAAGGCACCGCCTGGCAACGAGTGGTGCTCCCCTGCTTTCTTTGTCAGGAGCAAGGGCAAGAAACGTCTTGTCGTCGACTTCTCCGCGTTGAACAAGTGCACGCGCGAGTATCCCGTCCCCATGAAGACCGTCGACGAAGTGCTCGCCAAGGTTGGTCGATCAAAGATATTCAGCGTTATCGATCTCAAGAGTGGTTTCCATCATGTGCTACTCTCCAAGGAGTCACGCCAGTACACTCAGTTCAAGATTGGCAATGAGTTGTACGTGTTCAAGAGATGCGCTTTCGGYCTGCGCAACAGTCCAGCATTCTTCAACAGGTGGATCAATCACGTCTTCGCGCCGCTTATCAAAGCAGGCATACTCGAACTCTATGTCGACGATGTGATCGTCCATTCCAAGGACCTCAACGACCACCACAAGCATCTCAAGATGACATTCGATCTGCTACGCAAGCACGGTGTCTATCTGAACGACAAGAAACCACAGTTGTGYAAGACATCCGTCGTCTATGGCGGTCACATACTCTCTGGCGAGGGCATCAAGAAGTTGCACAGCAACGTCCAGGCTATCATGGAGATGCCCATCCCGTCCACAGTCAGAGAACTCAGAGCATTCCTTGGCGCATGTCAACACTACGCCAAGTTCCTCGATGGATGCAAGGATGCGTTCGCGCGTCTCACGAGTCTAGTCTCCAACAAGTTCACCAGACTCAAGCTGTCCGAGGAGCATCGGAAAGACTTCCAAACCATCCGCACTGCGTTGTGCAGCGACACATGTCTGATTGTGCCGCGCAAGGAAGTCCCTCTGAGGGTATACACGGACGCGAGCGACTTTGGTACAGGTTTACTGATCGCTCAAGAGGACGCCAACGCGAATCTCAGACCGGTGCTGTTCGACAGCAAGAAGTTCAACCCGGCCCAGAGAGCCTACGACACACGTGATCGTGAACTACTCGGTTTGATCAACTGCCTTAAGAAGTATCAACACTTGCTGAGGGACAAGCCATTCATCTGGTACACCGACCACAAGAACCTGTTGTACGAGGCCAACCTGGAGTCGCGTCCGGCCCGTGTCCAACGTTGGTACGAGATCATCTCCAACTTCTCTTTCGCCACTCAATACATCGAAGGAAAGTCCAACTGCATGAGCGACTACCTCTCACGCACGCCAAGGTTCTGGAACCCTTGGGACGACGACTTTATTGTCACCGTCAAACAGTCGTGCGCCGATCTCAAGAACGTGCCCAAACACGTCAAGAAGTGGTTTGACAAGCTCAAGACCAGAGGTGACGTCGTCTGCCACGACGGCCTCTACTTCTTCGTTGATGGTGAGAAGGTCAGGATGGTCATCATCGACCCTGAACACATCGCAAGAGTGCTCAAGGATACACATGGTCTCGAACATATAGGAATCAACAGACTCTTCGACAAAGTCTCATCATTGTACATTTGGCATGGTATGTCCAAGTCAGTCACCGACTACATCGCCAAGTGTGTCACTTGTCAGAAGAACACTATCAAGTCGGTCAAGGACGGATTCCTCAACTCTCTTCCCATCCCAGATCGTCCGTTCTCGCAATGGTCGATCGACTTCATGTCACCTGGCGTGGCCGCTGACGGCCACGACAACTTACTCGTCGTAGTGTGTAGGTACTCCAAGATGGTCAAGATCATCCCCTGCCACTTGACAGTTGATGCAGAGACTTCTGCCAAGCTGCTCGTCGACAAGGTCGTCTCAGTCTGGGGCGCGCCGACGGACATTGTCTCTGACCAGGACGCTCGCTTCACCAGCGACGTGTGGACTCACATCATGAAGACCATTGGAGCCGGCTCAAGCATGACGCAGCCCGGACGCGCAAATGGAGACGGTCAGACAGAACGCCTTAATAGAGCTATCCTCGAGACTATCAGGAAGATGGTCGCTGACAAGCGCGATTGGCCAGCATGGATCCCTATGATCGAGTCCGCCATCAACAACAACGTCAACTCGTCGACTGGTTTCACCCCAAGTCAAATTGTTTTTGGTTTTGAACCACGCATGCCTTGGAACGCCGGTCAAGTCACTTTCAAAGACTACAAGGTCTGCCAAGACATGTATCGCAAGATGGCCGCTTCCAACATGTTGGACGCGCAGATCAGACAAGCCATCCAGCACGACAAAGGTAGACGTGACGTGATGCCATACAAGGTAGGCGACATTGTGCTTGTTAAGCGCAGCGCCTTCGACAGTTCCAAGCCTGGTGGCGACGCTGCAGACATCGCCAAACTTCAGTCA